CCTTTTTTTTTTTTTTTTTTTTTTTTCTATTCGGTCATCTCTTGCTTCCTTGCTTCTCTTGTGTGGCCGAATAGTTTTAGGTTCATTTTCTCATTCCTTGTGAACCTTCCTTGTCATTTTAGGTTTCCATTTTAGGTTATTGCTATGCTTTTCTAATTTTTGTTTGAGTCTCATATGAACATGCCATGAACATGCCTTTTAATTTTTGAATCCAGCTAAAGTTTTGTCTTTTTGTTTCCTATATTTTGTCCACATAAATTCCATGTATGTGCCAAACACTTTGCATGAAACACATCAACAAAATATGCCATCTTGCATTACATAGTGGGCGTGACATATAAATCTCTTTTTAGGAGTCATTCATGCATGCTACCTAGTCCTAGCATGTTCTATGTGATTTTGTGATTTCCATGTGTAAACTTTTCCTTGCACATGCATAACCGCCCACTCTCCCTTGCATTCTCACTTGATTTAGTTATCTTTCTATGCCAAAAGAAACCCTAAAAGAATCTAAGAGGTAAGAAACGAGAAACCTTCATCTCTTCCTGTACAGTCTTGTATATTTGTGTAAATCTAAGTTAGCTTATCTTAGCGAGTATTGAGACTATCCTATCCTCTCTGTGACAGTAATACACACACTCAAAACACATATCTCTGTAAAACTAAGGTTGCATACCTTACCAAGTGTAAAAACCATCTTATCCTCTCCGTGAGAGTTATACACACAATCAAAATATCTATCTGTAATAAAGCCTGAAGAGGCTAGTTGAAAGAATATTTGGGGAACCAAAAGTGATTTAAGAATACTAGCGCTGATGAGTGAAGTTGGCGAACCAGGAGTCGTTGATAATACTTGGGGAACCAGAAGTGGTTTAATAATACTAGCGTTGACGAGTGAAGTTGGCGAATCAGAAGTGGTTGATAATACTTGTAATCCGTCGTGATTAATGGAACCCTTCGGTTGAAGAAGACTGGACGTAGATCTGGTTGAGCGAACCAAAATAAAATTATTTGCACTTTTTATCTATTTCTTAGACGCAATTTTGTTTAGCTGATATATCATAATGAAAATTTCGTCCACTGCTTATTTTTCACTAACTATCTTTAGACGGAAAATATACACTTGCTTAACTTATTATTTTAAGAAACGTTTTCCTTGTACAGATGATAAACTCTCAGACGCAAAATCTTTTGCTGAGCCAACCTTGCACAGTTTTCAAGTGTTCAAAATAATATTTTTATTAGACGAAAAAGAGAGTCTCTTTGCGTAAAAAGTTTTAAAATTCCTTCGTTCACACACACATTCAACCCCCCTTCTGTGTGTTTTTTCGCTAACTTCACATCACACATAACTCTGATATCTCTTGTTATGAATAGTAGACTTCAGATGCTTTTTAGTATTCTTCGTCTGCGTCTGGTAATGCATCTTAAATTTGAGTGTCCGTTTGAGAAGTAGACTTTGATTTTTCCTTCCGTCTGGTCAGTTGTGAAGATGGAAGACTTTAATTCCTTCTGGAACGTTTCTTCATCTTGTGTTTTCCATCATCTGATACTTTCTTTAATTTCGTCTGGAATGTTTCTTCGTCTTGTGTTATCCATCGTCTGATACTTTGTTTACCTTCGACTGGTAGTACGCCTTGTCTTGTATTTGTTGTATTTTCGTCTGGCTTTTGATCAAGCTTAGTCTTGATGCTTGATTAACCATCGTTTGATAGTTTGTACAACTCAACCAGACTTCGTATATAGGAAAATTAAAGAAACAAGAAGTCAAAGCAACCAACTTAACCAGTTGCCTTGAAGAGAAATTTTAATTCACGTTTCTCTAAGCTAAATAAACAGAAACTTATTTGTAACATTTTACTGGCAAGGACATTAAGAGGTATCTTTTAACTGAACAGGTTCCAATGACAGCAACATCTGTCAACCCCCCTTCTGTGTGTTTTTTCGCTAACTTCACATCACACATAACTCATCACACATAACTTCGGTTATCGTCGCCTAAATCAACTGCAACCATAGTGACATTGTTGGATATAGTGTCGGCTTTTGCAACACTAATTTAATTTGAATTTAAATTAAATTAGTGTTGGAAAAGTTGACGCTATATTTATATAATAACTTTGGCTTTTCTGACACTAAACTTAATTTAAATTTAGTGTCGAAAGAGCCGACACTACATCTTAAAATAGCGTCGGCTTTTTCGACAGTATACGTGCTTTGAGAGAGATAAAGATAATTTTTTCAATGTTATATACGCATAATGTGTTGTGGTGCACTTGGTTATCAAGTTCACTTAAGACCTCAAGGTTCACAGATCGATTCCCAAGAATGTTAAAATTATGAACGAATGTTAAAAATATGAACAAATAAATGATAAGTTGGAAAAAGAAAATAAAGAAAAAAAAAATAAATTTTGTGTCGACGTAGTGTTGGCTTAACTGACAATAAAAAATTAAAATAAATAAATTTTTTATCGATGGCTTAGCCGGCACAAAAAAATTTGTGTTGACTTATTTAGCGTCAGCCAAAAATCGATGAATAACCAACAATATTACGTCGGTTTTTATGATAGCCGACTCTAAACTACAACATTTTTGTAGTGGGCCCAAAGCAGACAATATCTCATTATTGTGAAGTTGTGTGTGAAATAATCTTATAAAAATGATAAAAACAAGTTTTACATCGATAAATAAAAAAATAAATAATAATTTATAAAGTATACCCATACTCTAATAATTAAAAGGCCTTTTGGATGATAACCAAAAGCAGAATCGTGAAAAATTTAGGTCCAAAATGGACAATATCTCATTATTGTGAAATTATGTGTGAAATAATCTTATAAAAATAACCCTTATAAAATATTTTTTCAAACAAATATCATAAAATAACTACGTCAAACAATTCTAAAAGCTGACACATTTCACATTTACAAGTAGCTCCCCGAGACTGAATCCTTTTAAATGGCTTGCAAGAACTCACTTCATAAGTCACCAAGTTTGATATTTGCTTATGAGAACTTGATCGAGCCTTTCAAAACAACCTCCCCTCTCTGAACTTTTTACAAATTTAATATTTACTTTTAACAAATTCATTCTCGTTTTCAGACTTGACAAACAAAAAGTCTAGTGTAATTGTTATTAGGATCTTCTTTATAGAGCAAGAAACGATAAAGCATAACAAAGAACAATTGAACACACAAAAGATTCTGAATTTCCTCTCTTTATTATAGAAAACTGATAACAAACCAATCCCCTTAAGATTTTTCTCCTTCACAGTTAAACTTTCCAAAATATTCAAAAGTTCTCCTCACTACTTGACGTAGGGCTTATTTATAAGGAATACACAACTGAACTAATTATCCCTCCTAACTCCTATTGGTCTGTTATACTTTGATCCCTTCCTTTTTCATATAATACTCCTGAAGACCCTTTGATCCCTTCCAGATTCCATCCTCCGATCAAATAAATTAGGGACAGCGGTCCATAATGCAGTTAATTCTAGCTTCCTGCAACATCACATTTAGTGGAAAAGCAAAATTTCAAATATGTTCTACTTCTAGCATATAATTAAATTATGGGTAGCAGTTAAAAAGGATAGCAACATTTTTCAATTAGTTAGTGAGTTTGGGGTACGCGAAAATTTTTCCCCGGACCTCCTTTGATTGGACTTAGAGAACCACCAGAGCTATAGGGATAACAACAAACACTTTTAGAATTTTCAAACATTTGAGACACTATCTTGTTAAATCCAGTCAATTTATCTGAATTCAACTCATCAAACTACTTTAAAAGCTGAAATGCAGTCTTTTCATTTGAGTAATAAAATAATTACCATTATCTGAGACTGAGAGGTATGGATCAAATGTGAAGGATCTCAATACTAGCGCTGATGAGTGAAGTTGGCGAACCAGGAGTCGTTGATAATACTTGGGGAACCAGAAGTGGTTTAATAATACTAGCGTTGACGAGTGAAGTTGGCGAATCAGAAGTGGTTGATAATACTTGTAATCCGTCGTGATTAATGGAACCCTTCGGTTGAAGAAGACTGGACGTAGATCTGGTTGAGCGAACCAAAATAAAATTATTTGCACTTTTTATCTATTTCTTAGACGCAATTTTGTTTAGCTGATATATCATAATGAAAATTTCGTCCACTGCTTATTTTTCACTAACTATCTTTAGACGGAAAATATACACTTGCTTAACTTATTATTTTAAGAAACGTTTTCCTTGTA